CATTTAAAAAAAATCCATTATGTTAATAGTTTTCTTCATCTTCGATGACACCGAGTTCGCAATTTATTAATATCTTGAATATAAAATTACCTTAGTTTCGAAAAAAAAATATCTTGATGTTTTTAGCCACTTCATAAATTGTGTACAGCTTTTCCGTTAGAAAATGTTATAAATGTCTGTAAAAAGAACAATGCAAAGAAATAGGACTTTGAGTTAAAACGGTGAATGAGATAACATTTTCATATCTAGTGCCGAATATTTTTCTGCGTGCAAAAATGTGTAGTTCTGCAAATATCATCCAAGAGTAATACATCTTACCGATTGATTAGTGAAGCTCGCTTTTTCAACAAAGACTAGTGTAGTACATCCAGTCGAGCGACACATTTCTCCAGAATTGGTTGTTTTTTTGTATTTCATCAAATTCTACCAGTCATCAGCATGGCTGACGTTAAACTACTGGCGAGCAACATAGTGTGCCTTGTTGGCTTAACGTTTTCAACTGACTTGAAGTGAAGCCACTACACCGAATCAATAGCTGCATCTACTGCAAGGAAAGTTGGATCACTGTGTCGTGCCAAAGGGTTTTTCTCATCAGAGTCCATCTTTCACATTTACAAATCTACTATTTGCCCATGCATGGAATACTGCAGCCATATCTGGTCTTGGTGCTCCTTCTATTCATCTCGAGGTTCTTGACAAAATCCAAAGAATGAGGACCTGCAATGTAATCGATCCTTGCATCTAGACTTCAGTCACTTTCTCATCGACATGATATGGCTTCCCTCTGTCTTTTCTACAAATATTTTCATTTTTCTTCTCTGGCGATCTTTTTCTCCTGGTGTCCCGACTACATGTATTTAATTGTACTACTAGACTGGCATCTAGGTCCCACCTTTTTACTGTTGAATTAATTAAACTCAATTGCCATTTCTAATCTATGTTTCTTTTCTTGCATTTCTCGCCTATGGAACTCCCGCTTACTTGCTTCCCTGATAACTACAATCTTCAAAAATTTAAATGCAGCGTCAATCACCATATTCTATCTTCTTAAATCCTGTTCATCTGTTGTCCTTAACACAATTCTCCATATACTCAGCCTTTTCTCCCAGCTTCACTCCTTGTAACCCCCTGGCATTCCCGTCTCGCTTGGGGTGAAATGATTAAAAAATGTCCTAGTAGGTGGCACCCTTCATGTCACAACAAGCAAATAGCATTATTTTCTTAGGGTGAAATGCCCATTTCGTACAGTCAAAGACTTTTTCTGTCGTAATCATTTTTCTTTCGCTGAATATGATTTTACAGCATCCATTAAGATAACGAGTTTTGTCCTTAAGGACGAACAAATACTATTTGATTGAATCGACAGCCAGCCAGATCATAAAGAACTCATTAATGAAAAATTTGAGACTTACCGAATTCATGGAGATGGAGGTGACTTCTAATTGTTGTATAGAACAGTTTTATTCTACTATCGTTTACCAAATACAAAGCCCAAGAGCCATTCAAGGTAGAGCATTACTAAATGGGGTTATTGTAAGGGAGTACCGTCGAGGGATCAAAAGGGGCCTATTATAATGTTCTGTAGGATTGATAACGGTTGACCCTAGACTTAAAGACGTGTATCAGGAAATCATTATTACGTCAAACAAATTCTCACAATCCAAAATCGTTTCAGCCTTAAATAACTTCAAAAAGTTTGATAAGCTTTAAAAAACAAATCAAATCTTATCTTCATTATTTTCTGAGCGCATTAACTTTTCCAAGCCTTCTTTTCTCTTTATATTACGCAGGGGTTTCAACTATCTCTTCTTGATTTTTAATATAATTGTCCTTTTAGTTCCCATTTTCTTTTAAACCTCATTGTTTGTATATTATTGTTATCTTAATACAAGCCACAAGAGTCATTCAAGGTAGAGCATTAACAAATGAATTTATTGTCATTGTGTACAAGGAAGCAGCAAGAAAAAACATCTGATTATGTAGGATAGATTAAGGTTGACTCTAGACCTGAAGATAGTAGTGTTCGGGGAAGCATCCTCTTGGGAGTCTGTTTCAGACCATAACTGTTCTGGAGAAGAAGATTTCTAAGTAAAACTTCCTCCTTACCAAAGGAATATGAAGCGAACGGGGATGAGCCGGCTCTCTGTACTTGTATGGCGGGTCGTAGCTGTGGATGTTTAGACATGTGGATGTAAAGAATGTAGTTCGCCTGAACATCTGCCATGAAAATAGCGATTGATTAACGACAGGATAGCAACGCTTTGCCTGTGGGGAAAGGTGTTGTAGGGTGGAAAATTTCATCACTCACAAGGCGTTCTGTTCTGCCATTTCTTATGCAACAACAGTTAAGAGATCATGATTTGGTATCATGGGGGACATAATTCCATGAGAGAAACTGAATAAAAAGAACATTTCTCTGTAACTAATCTAGTTTTCCATAGGCAATGCAAATAATATTTTTTTGCCGCCTCTGAAGTGGATGACCTACTTTTCATCTCGTAAAGCATGTCGTATTTTAAATGTGTATTCAAAAGGATGTACACGTATTATTATAGATTATGCAACTGCGTTTGATAATGTACATTTTGTAATGTACAGTGGCCGTTAACAATTAAGTATATCACAAGATTATGTAGAATAGATAAAGCATATAAAGCATAAATATCAAATAGATATTAAGATAAAGCAGTATTTATTTAGAACCGCAAATAAATTACTTAAATAGAACAAAGAAGTAAAAGTCAACCAAAGATAATTAACCATTTGAGTGAATAGCTTGTTAGTAGCGTGGCTCGGCTTAATGTCCGGTAAATTCAGCGACGCACAATAATTCACACTAATTCGACTGGATAGTTCCACTCAATAGTCGCTCAATAATCACTGCAGTCAGTAGCCTGACACCGCTATTCATACGCCTGGCGGAAAACATATATTCATAAATCCAGAGTGCCACGCTCGAACCTTGGTGTCGGTAGTTACTCATTTTCTTCCTATATGACAGTGCATCACAAAGAACTGTTGTCGTTAACCTTCGCATATCTGGGAACGATATTAGAATAATCCAAAACCAATACTGGTAGCAAAACGGCCTGTATGCGTCTAGAAAATGAATTCAGTAAACATACAAAAATAGAAAAGGGTGTGAGACAAGGTTGTGTCTTCTCACCGGACTTAATCAACCAAAAGAGCGAAGCGCTTCAGAGAGAATTAGAAGTTCTACCAGGATTCATTATTGGCGGCTACAATCTTAACAATATAAGATATAGAAATAACACAGTGTTGATAAAAGACACAGAAAGAAAACTGCAAAAATTCCAACAGAAGGTAGCGAATGAAAGCGAGAAGAAAGGAGTAAAGATCAATTGCAAGAAAATATAATTCATGGTTGTTAGCAAAAGGGACAGCCCAACATGCAAATTACAAATTGGAAATATCAAAATCAAAATATTACAGAAATTTAAGTATCTCCGAAGTGTTCTAACAGCGACACTGAAATCCAAAGACGCATTGGAATAGCGAAAAATGCCTTTTAAAACTAAGCAAAGTATTAAGAAACAGGAAAATCTCTTCAGAAACAAAGAAAAGAGTATGAAAACGTAGCGTAATATCAGTCCTCCTTTATAGTTGTGAATGCTGGACAATCGTAGTGTTGGAATTTGATTTCGGTGATCAGTGAAATCCTTATAGCACGGCCTTATAATTATAAAATTTAGAATTTACTAAAGCTTTACAAATTGTATATAAACAAAATGCATGTAACAAGCACATTATTACTAAATCATTGTGACAATAAATAAGGCCTTCATTTACTTCAAAAGGAAATTATAATGAACAGTTTAGCTATATTATTGTATAATATATTATTTTATTATTATATTATATATCATTGTATAATATGTTATACAGTGAAGTGGTTTTAGTGTGATTTCCAATAAACAATGCAAATTTAAAAAAAAATTGTTTTACAATTTGTGGCCAGCAATATTATGTTATTATATACACTTTTATCTATTTTTTGTCTTTATTAATTATGATCTAACAAATAGTATTCATTGAGTCGTCTTTTTTGTAATCTTTTATAATTTTTACATTGTTTTTACTTATCGAATACAGTAAACAAAATTACATATCTTGCTTGTAGTGATTCATAATCAGAATTCAGGTTTGAATATATTTTCCATTCAATGTATCTAATACAAAAAATATCAACTTCATTTGTATTTATTCTTGTAATAGTAAAACTTGAAGCCAGTTTGTAAGCAAAAACCCGTAGAAATTAGGTATTTACGTAAACTTTTTTCAGACGATATTTAAAAGCAAATGCTAAAAAATTCGTAGAAGCTATGAATGTAATTTTTGGTGTCAGTAGTCATCAAATCAAACCCCAGCTTTCACCCTGAATGCAATAATGATTTTCTAAAGAAAGTAAAAATATTAATCTGCCCTACTGTTCATGTCTAGGGATATCGCTTATTATTAAGTAGTGCTCAGTTATTCTCACCATATTTCCACTACCCGGTCGGGGAATTGAACTTACAATTACTATATCAGCAAATTCACGAAACAACGTTTTAATTCACGAGGCACGGATTGGAGTAATGGATAGCGGCTCGAATTGAGTAATCAGAGAGCCGAGTTCGAATTCCATTACATTCACTTACCCTTGGGAAAGGTATGAATCCTCTTCTTCTTTCCCCAGCTATGGGTAAATAGCAGGACAGACGGGTTCTATAGCCTTCGATGGCAGCTGGTCTACCGCAAAAAGAAATGGCAACCTACCGCGGGAAAAAATCTGCCTCGTCAGTCATGTATCGAAAGATACATGATCGCCTAAGCGTTTATCCCACATGGCAGATAACTGACTGAAGCTAGTGTTCCGTGGATTAAAACGTTCACTCGTGAATGTGCTGATTTAGTAATTGTCGCGTAAGTGAATATAACGAACCTAATTGGAACTTGGCTCTTCGATTTCTAATACTGAGCTGTTCATTACACCACCAACAGCAACTATTATTCCGAAACTGTCACCCATCTAGGTACTGATCAGGCTCGACGTTGCTTAACTTCAGTGATCGTACGAAAACCGGTGTTTTAACGGGATTGGGCGTAAGCTTTACCACCGGCACATCAAAGCTTACAGCACCCATCTGACCAGACTCGACGTTGCTTAACTTCGGTGATCGTACGAAAACCGATGTTTCAACGTGATGTGTCCGTACGCCGTTTCTTATTTGAGGGTCACGCAAGTAGGAAAGTATTAATTTCGTTGTTTTTTTGTTTGTTTTCATGCAACGACTTTCAAACGACTATTTTTCGTGTGTGATTTTCTCACTTGTTAAAATGTGCACTTTTGATTCACTAAAAAGTCAAAGAACAGGAAAAGCATTAACCTGTTTATGAACGCATTTTTCATAAAGAATCAATCACTTTTATATTTTCTTTCAGAAAAATAAAAAATATATGTAAAATATTACAGTATCTTAATGTTTCTATAAAAAAATTGTGTTGCTCAATTTAATTTTCCTGGATGTCGAAATTAAAATTGATTAAAAATCAAATAAGATCAATGGTCAAGTTTAAAAATCAAGGATATTAATAACAGAAACAATTTTCTTTTATTAACGATAATGTGTTGTCGCTTTATGACTTGAAATTGACTGAAAAATTATTGTTTCTCTAAAATGTTGTGGGGCTGATTTGAGAAAATTGTCTTTAAAGTTCAGAGAGCTCATTTTTATTGTTATCGAACCGATCGATTTTTTTCCTATTTATTTTTAAAAATTATTACCTGAAACTATAAGAATAATAATACAAATATTGCTAAAAGTAAAAAAAGAACGAAAAAGCAACAACTTGAGCATGAAGGTAATAGTCATGCCGATGATTATTCGAGTGCTTGGAATTGTCACAAGGATCAATGCAAACAAGATGGAAGAATTGAAGCCACCATAATGACAGCTTTACTAACATTAGAATATTGAGAAGCTACCATCGAAAACTGTTGATGATAATAATAATGATAATAAGAATTATAATAATGACAATAATAATAATAATAATAATGCAGATTTTGTGGTAAATATCCAGAAACGATTGATCATCTTGTATCACGTTGCACGGCATTGGCATCCACTGAATATAAAACCCGGCGTGACAGAGTGGGCCAGTATCTGCACTGGAAAATCTGCAACTTCTACGGGAAGGAAACTGAAAGAAACTGGTATGAACACCAACCAGACCCGGTTACGGAGATAGGACCTGTTACAATTCTATGGGACTAAACAATACACACAGACAGAACAACCAAAGCTAACCACCCAGACATTGTTATTAGAGACGGCAAACAAAAAGCGTCTCCTTATTGATATGGCAGTTCCTGCAGGTTGTAATCTAACTTTGAAGATCTTAAAAAAAAACTATCAAAATACAAGGACTTTGAAATTGAAATCCCAAAAATGTGACACGTGATGACATCAACAATTCGAGTTGAAGTTAGAGCCTCGGATTGATTGGAAAAGATTCAAATAGAATCATTGAAGGGATTCCTGGTAGCCCATGCCTTAAAGAAGTACAAAAAATGTCCTTTCAAGTACAGGTCGCACCTTACGAAGGGCTTTATCGATGTAAAATATGTGTGACTTGTTTTTTAAATGCTCAGTGGAAAATGTTATACTATTTCTGATCTTAAGTCTCTGGTCGGGATCCCAGGAATGAAATGAGTAAACACAAGAAAGCAAAAGAAATAACAACAACAACAACAACAATAATAATAATAATAATAATAATAATAATATGTAAATTTCACTGTTTACAAACAAAAGCTCATACCAGATCGTTCGTCACCCAGAAAGACAAGGAGGAAAAACGGAGAGGAACGAGTCAGGGATCGAAAAAACTGTCACTTAACAAACTCTTTCATCAGCTATGAAACACCTGATCACCAAAACCAGATTAACTCCAACGTTGGACCTGGCGACTTAATGTCAAATAAATTAATAAAAATAATGCGAACGAAATTGAATAGTGAAGAGTGTAAACAAGTTATGACATCTTTTTTTCACTGCACTCAAAAATACACAAAAGAACATCATTGATCAGGCATACCAAATATGGAGAGATAAGGCAGGAAATAAAATAAAGCTCTATCTCATTCCAAATATGCCTGCCAATGTCCGTAGGGACATCATGAGAAATAAAAGACTCTCAAATGCAGTAATAGATAAGATAAAACTAAATATAAGACAAAGTACAATCAGACATAATCCAAACAAAAATGAGGCATAAGTGGAAATAAATAATATGACAGAGGATGAGATACAAACTAAAATAAATGACATACGAAATAATGATGTCTCTGGAAATAAAACGGAAGAATCTAGCTGCGACATAAATAATTGCACTGATTCAGATTCTGTCACTGATGAAGATTTCTCAAACGACAATAGAGCAGAATTTCTTGAAAACAACAGTTGAAATCACTGAAGTGAAAAACCACATCATTTAAATAATCAGCAAAGTAAGACGCACATAAATATCAGAAAGAGACCAGCTACAACAATTTCATATGTAAAGTCCAATAAACATATGCAAACATATAACGCTGCATTGCAAACATTGCTAACGGACAAACCACAAGAATAAATCACAGAGGTAAATAATGTCATATATGCAACAGCTTTGATGCCTACTGAAACATTAATATATCAAGATAAATAAAAGATTAAACAAAAGACAAAAAATCCTACTTAGAAGGCAAAATTAACGCAAGAAATTGAGGAAATCAGATGTGGCCTATCGATATTAGATAGAATTTCAAGAAATTCAAATGTTTCAACACAAAAAAGCAAGTACGATCAAGTAGAAACATAAAGTTAAAACAGTGAATAAAATTCCACCAATCAAGGAAATACTTAGACAAAAACTGCAATTAAAGGCACAGAGAACAAGACGATAGATTCTATCGACAAAATAAGGTAATTCCAAACGGACTTCAAGATGTTTTATGGGGAAATTGGAAAAGTACATTATAAAAGTCAAAAAGCCACCATCTGTTGAGGAAATGCAAGCATTTTGGAGGGGAATATTTGGGGGTAAGCCAAAGGAATATAATTCAAATGCAAAATGGATTAAACAAGAACAAGAAAGAATGAAAGAAAGATGTGCCCTCAATGATACATAGCACAGTGGATAAAGGTGTTGGTTAGTTCAGTTGACAGGACCCAAAGAGTATCAGTTCAATACCCAGTTAAGACAGTGGGGAACTTTCAGAGGGAAATTAACAGGAGATAACTGATGACTGACATCCATTAAACATCGCACGTGGAACTAGAACAGTCTACCACAGTGAGCAAAATAAAAGGTTCAGTTCGACATTTCAACCACCTGAAGAAGGCCGGAGCGTACAACGGTCGAAACGTTGTGATAAATATAGCGACAAAGATGAGGTCAATAGTCTGAATAATATAAATAGTGAAAACAACATTCTTTCTCTGGAACAGAAGGATTTCAAAGATGAACTACTAATAAGTAAAGTGATCCTAGAAAATTTCAGGAAAAAAAGGTAGAATTTGTGAAGCCTTTGATAGTGTGCCACAGTTTAGGATCCTTAAGGCTTTGGAAATGTACAAAGTCTCTTCTGTGATAGTAAGTTTATTAAATATAGCATGAATCTGTGGAAAACCATATTATACCTAAATCACACAAAAGGTTCTTCAACTTCCAGTTGTTTGAATATCCGACGAGGAATCTTTCAAGAAGACACTCTGTATACCGGAGACATGGCAACGGCTTCTAGTGAAATGGGCGCAGAATCTAATGCAGACAAAAGAGAAATAGACACATTCAGTAAGATTTAAAGAAAAGGAAAAATACGTGAAGTGCATCACTCACCTAAATCATGCGTGGCAACCGGGGCAAACTGGAAGGATTGAAATGTTAGAGAATTTGTGACTACGGGCGGGCATGTGAAAAGCCTACAACATGTTTCTGTAGACAACAGTTTTAGTTTTTCCGTTTGAAAGGGAATAAATTTCTTTTGCTTCCCAGTAGAAGAACCAACAGAAGAATGGCTCAGCTAAAGATAGACCTGCTTGGAGAGCATTTGTTCTTGAGACTTGCTGATTGACATCGCGAAGGGAAAGTCTTAGTGCAAATTAAAGTCTGCGCAGAGCAAAGGGGATTTCCGCACCTTATGGTGTAGAGGTATCCTGGGTATGAATACATCCTCTCCCATACCACATCCTATGAGAATACTGCCCTCAATAACATGTGGCAGCAGTTTCTGAACCACAAGGCGAGTTTCATTGCAGAGCCTTGGCTGTTCCAGCTTCCTCAGCAACATTACTGGGGCTCCGATTTTGAGACGCAATGCATAGGGCGGTAGTCCGAAGGGGTTCAAATAGTTTAGAAACTCTAATGGAATGTGAACTACCTCTTGTGGATCGGCAACGGTGTCAGATGACGTTTCAGAATTTCTTCATTCATTTTTCCAACACTGCTGTTTTGAGAAGCCAATATTGCTCTCTGGCACAACCAAGTGGGTTTACCAAAATTGTTAGCTAGATCTAGAAAGACAGCAGATTAGAGGTCGTGAATAGTATTTCCAACGGAACATATATTTGAAACTGATATCTCTCCAGATTTATCCGATGGCACATTTGTCGTCATCGTCTGATAGAAGGTTCTTTGAAAATTGCGCTGGAATTTGGTCCCTGAGCACTTCAGCTCTCATGTTGGTTTTAAGAGGCAAAATTTTGATCTGTTGCTACAGAGCGTCCACTTTTCCAGTGTCCATCCTTTGGGAACAACGGGGAGAGTTTGCCTGGAATCACCTGATAGAAGAACAGGTACTCCTCTCATGACAATCCATAATGTCTCGCAAAGTCCTAACCAGGACCTCGAGAGCTCCTTTGTTGACCATTGTACCCTCATTTCAGACAATGAGCTCACAACATTTCAGAACGTCAGCTTTATCCGGACCATTGCTTATGTTGAAGGTCGCTGAATCAGACGAAGTCAAATTAATTGATAGTTTAAAGGCGGAATGCGCTGTCCTTCATTTGCCGTAATTTTGTGAGGATGATTTTCGTGACGAACTTT